TCCAGTGTGCTCGCCTTGCCCTCCCCCGGGGCTCTAGCCTGCTCTGGCGGCACATGGAGCTGCTGCTGCCCTCGGGAATGAAAGCAAAGGTTGCGCGGGCCTTGCAGGCCAGGAGCCCTGGGAAGGCTTTTCCATCCGGAGCCTCTTTGCCCCCGTTGGTCTACCTTGCTGATCATGTTGCAACGACCTCTGCTTTCTCGGGTCTTCCCCGAAGGTTCACAACAGAGCCCCCCCCCCCAGTAGATGAGAAGGAAGACAAAGAAAGAGAAAAGGGAGAAGTGGGTGGGAAAAGAATTCAGGGACCTTCCCCTTGACCTCCCCTGCTGAACTCCTGTTGGAGGGGCAGGGAGTGGGGTGGCAATGCGAGACACTGCGCACCAGACCCCGATTCTTGCGTGTCGGGAGCGCGCATGCACGCGTGGGGCCTGGGGCGGCCTTGTGATGCAGGCCTGGAAGCTCTCGTGGTGCCCCAGCCAGTGGTGCCGATCGTGGGGCATGCTGGGAACGCACACCCCGCTCCAGGGACCCTCAGTGCCCCCTCTGCTTCTCTGCAGGGGGCACTGGACATAGGAGGAAAGGGGACTGTCTGAGGACAAAGGAGGGGAGGCACTGGGCAAGAGCGATCTAGTCAGGAGTCTAAATGAGAGAGGAAAGTGGGTGGGATCCGGGTGCGGCTGTCCATCCAAACCTAATGCATCCATACCTGCATCCAAATACTGTCTTGAATCTCCATGGTTTTATCAACCAATTGCAAGAGCTGCTGGAATTTGCTATCAGAATATTCAAAACGGTCACCAAAAGTGACGGAGCAGATGATATTTGAAACTGCGTTCTTAATCTGCAAATGGGGGTCGAACGGTTGCCCTGGGGGGAAAAAAAGGAGTGGTGGCAGATGGAATATTACAGAAACGCCATATGAGAAAGTGATTCTACATTTCAACAGAATGGAGCATTTCCTGAGATGTTAACAAATCTCAGCATTTAAAGAGGCTGTCGCAAGAGGCCTTGGCCAGAGCAGTGAATCCGATGTCCTGCATATTTTCCAATAAACTAGCCACCTGGGTGACAATCCTGTGTGTGCTTAGATGGTAGAATGGTCTGTAATCCCCAGTTCCCCTTTGCTGCGAGCAACTCCCCTGTCCCTGCCATGGAGGGAACCGCACGAGTGTCCTCCTGGATTGGGCCCCTGCTCCTCCTCCATTTTGGAAGTGCAGCCAGGAGGCTAAAATGAGGTGCCCAAATGTGGCATCCCAAGCAAGGAGACTCAGGAGGGAGCAGGTCCCCAGCTTTGGTCCTCTCCCCACTCAGGAAAGGTCAAAAGTCCGGGCAAATGCGAACCCAGTCAAGTTGGGATCTGCCCGCCACAGCGGGACTGCCCACGA